GCGGCTGGCCGGGCCACGCAGGGGAGATGTGCGGGGGCCCTGCCCACTCGGCGCGGCGACGTGACAGAGGGGGATGGGGTCGCCGGGCGTGCACCTCGTGCCGTTCAGAGCCAGGGCCTCCTTGCGGTAGTCAGCCCGTCGAGCTCTCTGCAGATCTTCGGTTTGATGGGCTTGGGCTGTTGTAGCAGGACTTCAGGGTGGGGACCTCATGGTCTGTGACTGTATTTGCGGGTCAGGCCGCCACCACAAGGTACCGAAGATGGGGGGGGGGGCGGGGGCGGGGTAGCGTCTCACAGATCTAGAGGCTGGAAGTCCAAGACCGAGGTGTGGGCAGGGCCAGTTCCTCCCGAGGCCTCTCCCCCCATCGTGTGGACGGCTGTCTTGTGTCCTGACGTGGCCGTCCCTCTGTGTGTCTGTGTCCTGACCTCTTCTTCTTATAGGGACACCGGTCACACTGGATCGGGGCCACCCTGGTGACCTCATTTTACCTTAACGACTTCTGTGAAGGTCCTGTCTCCAAATAAGGCCACGTTGTGAGGTCCTGAGGGTCGGGGCTTCAACGTCGGAATCTAGGGGACACAACTCAGCCCCCAAAGAGTGCCCCTACCTGGTCACCTGGGGAGGACATGGCGTGTGGCTTCGGCTGAAGGTGGTTAGGGAACAGGCTTCCCTGAGGCCTGGCCGACCACGTCCCGTGGCTGGGTTCTGACCCTGGCTCCGTCCCCCCACTCTGTGCCTGCCCCCTCCCCTGACGAGAAGGGGGTTGGCTGCGAGGTCTCCAAGCTCCAGTGCCCTCAAGTCCAGGAGCGGGGGGATGGGGTCACCAAGGCCCAGCGCTGTGCCCTAGCCTGGGTACCAAGGGGACAGGGGTGCTCACAAATGCTCGTGACACACACACACACACACACACACGTGCAGACACACATTCACATGGATGTGCAGGGGGAAGGTTCCTGGCCCTGGGGGAGAGCTGGGCCGTAGGGTCCTGGGTATCAGCCTCACTTTTTACTCTGCCCTTTTGTTCCTTTTGAATGTTTTTTTTTTTTTTTTTTTCCAATCAAATGACCATGTTACTTTTCCTATTAAAAATGGTTTTAAAGAAAAACAGCGCTGTCTTTCTGGTCCGTGGAAACCACTGTGTGTGCGTGGGCGTGTCCACATCTGTGGACACGGAACAAGTCAGGTTCTGGTGGTCCCATTTCTCCATCCCTCCTCCCCTGAGCCCGCCAACGCTTTCTAAGGAACTGCTACCGTTTGCCCACAAAGCTGGGAAATGCCGCCCTACGTCCCACCAACGTGGGGTCTCACCTTTTCCCTCGCGTGACAGTGCCCAGAAACACAACCCCTCAATCCCTTCCTGTTTTCCGTGACAAGGTAGTGAGGGATGCAGACTTGGGGGGAGGGCGGAAAACTGTGAACCAGGAGCACCGATCCTGCATTTATGTGACCTTCAGCTCTGCCGACAGACAAGGAGTCACATCACAGTTCGCTAGCGTTCTCTGGGCCTCTCCCGGGCACACAGGCTCCCCCAAGTACCTTCGTTTTTATTCAGAACCACAGAGGAGGCCCCCTCCGAGCCTCAAGAATGACCTGGCACGGAGACGGACCGGAATTCGTGGCACGAATGGACAGATTCGCATCTTACCCTAGGAACGCCACGGTGCTCTCGTCTCCTTTCATGCACTTTTCCATTCACTTCTTTTTGTTGTTGTTTTTTAACCTGCAAAATCCTTCCGGGGCACGCCGGTGGAGGGCACGGCTCCACTGTGGGAAGGGCTGATTCGTTGAAAAGATTGAAAAGTCGCGACGTTTTCATATGGATAAGTGCATGTTGTTTTCACTTTACCTAAAATGTTTGAAAATTAAAGTTTTTGGTGGAAGACTTTTTCAGGGTAGGAAACCAAGTGGCAGGGCCAATTTTGCGTTTGCCAATGACAGCAGAGCTTTTTTAAACTTCAGGAAAAGGTCAAATTGTGTTTGATGACCCCATTTGGAGTTCATCAATGACGGTGCATTACACAATTTTTCTCTGATTCCGTTTTATCCCTGGTAAGTTGGAAAAAGGCTCCAGAATTTAAAAAAAAAAAAAAAAAATGTGATCGAAACTCGCGCGGTTTTGAATTGTAGGAACATTTACCCCCAAATCAAAATGTTCTTATTTCCTTCTTTCGATTTTCCTCTCAACCTGAACATATACTTGATATAACACAACATGTCCGTAAGTAAGAATAGGAAAGACCCTTTTCCTTATTCAAGTTGCGGCAGGTAAAATTGCGATGTCATTTACGTAAATTTCCTGTGTCTTTGTGATAAACTGTGCCGAAATCTTTGCAGTTTTGTCCCCAAGGTCTTATTGATTGTAGAAATTCACCTGTTTTAACACTGAATTGATGGTAACTGGAAAAACTATATTAGTTCTGTTATCTGTGGGCTGGCTTCAGTTCTATAAACAAAGGCTACTTGAAATCTCTGTTATTGATTAAATCCAGATGGAATTCACTTCTGATACACAGAACACTGGGAAATTTATCAGCTTCTATTATTCCTCATCAAAATGAGCTCCTTTAGCTTTCTAATTATATTGTCTAATAAAACTAAACAGCCAATGCTATCTGCATATTAGATGAAGAATTGTCCTACAACAAACTCATAACAGTCAATTAACATAAAAGCTAATTATATATCTCGTCATCTTACAAGTTTCCGAATGTATGCTTACCCTGTTGTCGCCTAGAGCAAAGGAGTCTTGAATTTTCGCTTCTAAATATTGACTTTTAACTAATATCAGAAGCGATTTCAATATTTTTATGGATGGAAAGTTAGTGATTAAGCCAGATGCAATATTTGCCAGAGTGCAATTAAAATCTCGACATTAACTAAACCTCCAGAAGGGGAATCTTTGCAACAATGTGAAATCAATTATCAGTCGCTAAGCAGGTTAAGTCCTGGGTTCCTATCTGAGGAACACTCAAGATAACGATAAAGATAAGTGAGATTTATTTGAGATTGCCAGACTGTTATGAAAACCACAGACAGAGCACAAGGGCATTTCCGCGTCCAATCGTGCGTCGTAACATAATTGTGTTCCTGCCTAATTGTGATAGCTATCAAGCAAGAAATTTGCTACAAGATTAACAGAGACACAGTAATGAACGCGCACGGAGGCGCCCTGGAACCGTTAGGAATGTGGCTCACAGCGTCTGGAATGAACCCCACACTCCGGCCTTCCAGAGCCAAAACTTCCAGAGACTTTTGGGGGGGG